CCCACCGCCGAGCTGCCGAGAAGGGGACGCCTTCGAGAGGGGCGGCAGCTCTACGGTCACAGCAGTGTACCCAAACTCAAGCCACCCAGCCTAGTTATAAGCCTTTTTTCTCACTTTCTCATTTTCCCCATGGCTGGCAGAGGTTTTGCCTGAGCGATTGTTTTTTCCCCTAAAACGACCCGTAACACTGACGGGGCAGCGATGCAGGTCCCATGGGTGGCTGTTGGGGTGGCAGCAGCCACCACCACCACCTCTGCTGATAGAAACGGAGAGAAAGTCAGGGAAATACAAGAAAACCCCGACTCGTGGTGCGATGCTCACGAAGGCACCACCAGCCCCCCCCCCACATCGGTGCAGCCCAAGACGGCGGCTCCGCTCCCACCGGCGGCACAAGCTGCTGCTAATCCTCAGCTCAGATCCATTGTGCAATCCTTGTTTATTCCGGGGTATTTGCAGCACGGTGCCAAGGAAATCAGGTGATTTCAAGGAAATACCTGGCACGGGGACCCGCCAGCCCGCTGGGGGCTGGGGAGATGCGTGGGCTCGCTGGCATCACCCCAGCCCCGCTGCCCCCGGGGGCTCGGCAGGACCCCGGGAGTTGCTGTGTCGGGTACGACTCACCCACACGGCAACGACAAGGACACAACCACCACAAATCTGCTGCTGCTGTGCTCTAGACACGCGTATTTACACCTTTCCAAAGTTACAATGCAGGAGGGGAAAAGCTGTAGTTAGGCTTTAATTAAAGCACGGAGGCACAAGTGCCGCCTTCCGCAGAGACGGCGGAGAGGCTCCATCCCACGAGCCCAGGACGTGCTCGATAGGAATAAGGAACCCACAGTCAGTGATGCAAAACCACAGACCTGATTTTTAGCAGTGATTAAAAAAAAAAAAAGGTTACGACCACCAACATTGAAGCAGCTACATTCGTAAATCCTGGCAGGTAAAAATATAAATATTTTATCTCCTTACAACTATTAACTACTGAATGATACAAACACAATTAACTCCTTAGCAAGTTACTACAGCGTGTTGTGCGTAGACATCCTACAGTACGTTCCCACTCCTTTCCTCCCCGTGGAGCAGGTGTCTGGGCAGGAGCAGCCAGCCCAGCGCCGTAGAGCGTTACGGCAGAGCGACGGGGAGTATTGCCACGCAACAGCCTACACAGCTCCTCCTTCAAAATTTGATTTTCCTTCCCTTTTTCTGGTTATTTCTAAGCACGGTAACGTTTAAAACTGAAGAACAGAGGGTCCTGCTCTTGCAGAAGGCTGCAGCAAACCTGCGCCCTGGTGGGAACGGTCCGAGGAACAAAACCAGTAAAACTCAGTTTCTCACCGAGTTTCCTCCCTCTGTGGCTTTAGATCAACACACGCTTCTGCTCTGCATAAATCCTAAAGGCTTAGGATTAGAGCCTGGACCTTTGCCACAGACATCTCCATCTCAGCTTTATCCAATTAAAGCTCTGGGAGTGTTTAAAACAACTGGGTTTGAGCCCAAAATCCCCAGGTAAACCTCAGGCTTCGGGGCTGCTGAGCTCCTCCGCAGCTGGGGCCAGGGTGCTGATGTTTCTCAGCACAGATCCCTACTGTGGGTATAGCCAACACTTATCTACACATTTAAAATAAGCAACCTGGGTCCCAGAAGTTGCTCCTATAAATCCTGGAGTCACTGGAAAGAGCAGGTCCAGAACAGCCTTCTGCTTTGTACCTCAACGCTCCTTTCTTCACCCAACCTAAGGATTCTGCCCTTATTGCAACAACCAGAGGAGTGGAGGAAAATGGAGTTTGGCAAAACACAAGTCAAGACTCATGGGAGGAAACTGTAAATTTGGGGTATTGCTCCCCCCGACCTCATCGGGGGATTTCAGTAACGCGCAGCCATCGCACGAGCCGCACTGTGGGAGTTCCACCATCCAGGCACTATGCACTAAAGCAGCTTCAGCTCTATGAAAGGCAGCAATCTACATTAGGAATATTCACAGCTTATTTATAGGCAAGGTTAAAAACTTGTTGTGGGCCTAAAATTTGGTACGTTAAAAAGACAACTGGTAAAAACCATGTGCTTCTTGCAAACCCTGCACACGCGGCCCCGCTGCTCCCAGGCACCGAGCGAAGCGGTGCTCTCATTTTTCCTGCTGGAATAGAGAAAAACGTCCATAAAATGCAGGAAAAAAATGAGTGAGAGGATGAGGCTTAGATCAGGGTGCAAAGTTAAAGCAGGAGTCGAGTTTGGATTCAACAGCGCTGGTAGCGACGCTGTTCCCAGTGCAGGAGCTTTTATTCCCTTCTGCCCCTCGCGGGAGACATCCCGCAGGATTTGCTGACCTGACACGTGCCTCGTGTAACGCCACGTGCAAAAAGCCTTCCCAGAGCAAAGGCACAGGCTCAGACCGAGGGATTCAAATCACTCATGAAAGCAAAGTCAAATGATACCTGAAGCTTTTTCGATGGCTGAACAACACAATAACTGCGTTTGGACTTGGTAACAGTTAATAAAAACTTGGGGGTTTGGTCTGATAACATCTTCCAAACAAAAGCTGCTTCAGCGAGGATGGATATGATCCCTTTGTCCTCACATACACTGCGGTTAATTTTGCCACCTAACCAGGAGGAAAGACGCAGGACGCTATTTTCACGCCTCAAAGCCCGGCGACACGTTAGCTCACATGTATTAAAAGCGGGTTGAAAAATCTCCGTAAGAAATTTTCTCCAATCTCAATGACAGACACGGCAGCGTTCAGAAAGAAAAGACACAGACAGACTCTAAAAACACATTTCAGAGCAGAGTACTGGCCGAAGCGGCGCGTGGCTCACTGTGCTCCGGGGATGCTCGAGTCCCATCCGCAGGGCTCTGCCTCGCCACGGAAATCCCAGCCGAATCCAAGATGAGAGCGCAGGCTCTACACTGTCAAACCGGCCATCCTCTAGGAGTAAGAGAGAATAACTAGATAGATAACCTGTACCTCTGGGGTGCAGGTTATCCCCAGGGTAAGCCAGGGGACAGCAGAGCTCAGCTCAGTGCTGGGCACAGACAGACAGACACTTTGCAGCAATGAGCGGCAGGAGGATCCAGTCAGCTCTGCGTCCTTGTTCTGTGTGACAGTAACCCTCTGAGGATTTACTTATTTTACTTCTAACCAGGCAAATAATGAGCTGCTTCCCACTCTGCACCGTCCTTCGACCTCCCACCCAAAGGGTTTCCCAGTCTCAGCCTGGGGCCACGCGAGCTCAGCGACACCGGCGTGTCCCGCAGGATGGCAGGCAGCAACGAAGCGGGCTGGTTACTCAGGGTTACTCGCTTTTATTTGTCTTCTCCATAGGAAAGGACGCTTCCAGGGCAAACATTAAAACCATTACAGTAACCATTTTGCACATTAACCACAGTAAATACTTCTAGTTTTGATAAAACCCCTTCCATTGCCCCACCGAGGGTCAGACAGACGACGGGAACACGCTCAGGTGAACACGAGTGAATTACAGATTTAGTGCACAATCACAGAAGGTAAAAGCCAACAGCTAGGATTTCCCACAGCTGCTGGTCATGCAGTGTCCCAGTGCACAGAAAGTGCTGGGATGGGCTCCGAGTCGTGGTGCCCAATGCCTGCTCTGCTCAGCTGTGAGACGGCAAACCAACGTGTAAATTGGTCTGTGTGATTTGTCTGGTCACCTAACCAGCACTGTTTTGTAATAAAAACCAACACAACTATGCAGCCAATTTGCTGAAAAATTAACAGCAGGTATCAACACTTAAAATCCAACATTCAGGAAATCCAGATCGTACATATTTTCCATTTGCAATTAAAAACAAAACAAAACAAAATACTAAACAGCTTTCCTGATAACAACACTTAAAAAGTTAACATCACCAGACAGAGGTAATCCATAATAGCTGCTCACATCATTTCTGAAGCAAGTCCTTCTGGTCACTGAAAGCAAATGGCCATTTCTAGCAGGTATTTAAGAGTGTTTCAGTTTAGGGACTTCTTTTTGAAAAGGGAAAAAGCCAGAGTGGCACAGCAGGACTTACTGAGTTGAGGGAGGGTTTGTCGCGGTGGGTGTTCACTGCTTCCACGTTCAGGGTAATCGTCTCCACTTTACAACCTTTACCAGAAAGAAAGAGAAGTTTATATGAGGAAGGTCAATTTATTAAATAACCTTTTTTTTTTTTTCCACTATTGAAAACAGCATGGAAAGTGAGCAGGAATAAATTTATCTTTTTATTTTTTAACAATAAAACAGCTCATAAATAAGCAGTTCACCCTATTAACAGCCTTCTACACTTTACTTTCTGGCTTTGACCTTCACTGCAGAAGTGCAGCCCTGTTATGTGAAGTACAGGTCTACACAGAAAAGCCAGTTTAAACTCATTGCACCCCAGAGCCAAATCCAAGTTTGGAGGCACAAATGGGCTTCTTCAACAGGTGAAACCCACAATCGTCGCTCGTTTAAGAGAGGCCACAGGAGAACACCCCTGCACCCACACATCTCCTCTCCCACTGCCCCCTTAAAACCTTCCCACTCTCCAGTAATGTATTTTAAAATACATTAAAAATATGTTTACAGCAAGTCCAGTTGCTGCTGCGCACGGACACAGACTCGCATCAGATTCACACACACTCAAGCAAACCAGGGGTGGGGGGAAAAGAAAAAAAGACCATATTTACCATATGCAACAGGCGTGAGCTTGAGAATGGTGTGGAGGGGGCAGCGCAGGTAGGGCAGCTCGTCTAGGAGGGAGCAGGTGTTATGGGGGCGGCCTCATGGCTGCACCCGGGCTCCCCACCCCAGTCACCCCCCACCCCACCCCAGGCTTTGGGTGGGACCCTTCACATGGCACATACTGGGCGCTGACTCCACAACCACCTTGTGCCCACGCAAGCGGTGCCACAGCCCCCCCAGACCCCTTGATGCCCTCCCCAGCCCTGGAGCAGTGGGATGGGACTGTCCCCACCGTTTCCAGTGCACGGGACCAGCCAGAGCAGACCCCTCCAGCAGCACACAGCTGGGAAAGCACCACAGCAACAGCTGCCACGGACCCATGCAAGCATTATTTCAAACTTTTAAGAAAGTTTCTTAATTTTTACTAAAGTTTAATAAAACTCCAGCACCACTCTCTGGAGTTTAATGAAGTAGCTTGCAGCAGACTGGAACTAGCTTCCAGGCCAGCATGCCATGCAAGGCAGCAGCGTTTCGCCCAGATACAGCACTACTGCCAATCTCTCACAGGCTACTGATGCATCAGAAAACTTTCTTTACATGAAAAAAATCCTCTTGACATTATCTAAATGCTACTGGTGGAAACAGCTCCAGAAACAACAGCCAAGCAGAAAAACAGCAGCATACACATCTGCATTTCGTGCAAAGAGAGCTTCTTGCTAAGCCCCATGCACTGCTGAAACGTAACAGTTGAAGTGTTTCAGAAATGTTTTCTTGTCTTCTTTTTTTAAGCAGCTCTTCCGTTGTGAAAAATCAAAACAGTAATTACAAGCCACCCTCCCAAAAAGCTCTGTAAAGGAAGCAGCGAGAGAAGCCAGCCCCTAACATCATGCATTTATTTTTGTACCTGCACTCTTGTCGAGAAAATAAGCCAACAGGCACCTCATAACTGCCTGGTGGCAGATGACGAGGACGTTGCCTTGCCGTTCTAGCTCCATAATTACCGGCTCCAGGCGCTGGACCAAGTCCTGGTAGGACTGAAAAACAAAACAGGAATTTTTCGAGAAGTTTTGTAAACAGAGGCTTAAAGCAGAAGTAGCAATTAACACAGCTTCACAGTCAGGAAAACATCCAGTTAAAACATCAAAATGTAGAAGTTAGGGATGATTCGGTAAATACAGAAAAAAAGCAAACAACAGAAGGTGAAGTTTAACGTGGCTAACCCTCAGATTACAGGAGGATTCAGATTACCGGTAACTCTTAACAAGTGCAGCAAGGAAAACAAATAAAATAGTAAATTATACACTTCAACAAGGTTGTGAAGTAAAAGCAGAAATGACTTCATACCACACCCACAATCATTTTCTTTCCAAGATGTTTTTTCATGGTGGCAATTCGGGCCTTGGCCAAACGAGCACAGTGCAGAAACCCCTCTGCATCAGAGGGGAGCCTCGAGGGACTCAGCAAGCTGCCCAATTAATATGATTGAAAGGCATCATTTGCACACCACAATAAAGGAAATCAATAAACCTTTCCTCTAAGAGAGCGCTGAGGATCCTAATGTTTTCGGTTTCTCATACAAACAATTTAAAATTAACAGTTAAAATTAAATAAAGTCCTTCAATTCTACATGTGTTTGTTTTATGCATATTGTATCTTATTGTTATTTCTTAAGGGTCTTCACCTCTCCTCCAGGATAGCGATAAAGATATTTCTCTTGATCCCTCAAGGCAAACTCATCTGGATACTTGGCTTCAATTTCTGCGTAGGTCATTTCTTCACATATCCCCTGAGGGAAGAACAACTTGTCACACTTTGTTTCAACAGAGGTACAACAGTGCAAGGAAAAGCAAGTGCCTGAGATCCGTAATCCCTTCACGTGACACAAAGCTTGGGCATCCTAGCTGACAGCCATACACTCAGCATTTGTGCACCACACCTCCAGGGTGGTTTGAAAAGGGCAGCCTTTTGGTTTTATTTCAAAACCCTTGTTTGCCAGGGATGAAAACGAGAGCTCATTTCCACAGCAACAACCCTGCAATTTCTTTTGCCTGAAAGAATTAGAGTGGGAGCAGTAACTTTTGTCCACCCAGGACAGCGTGACAAATGCCTGAGATATGGACAAAGAAAATAACACGGAACACCAGCTGGGTACACTCACAGCAAGGTCTGGCAGCTCCAAGGCACTGCCAGCCCTGTACCAAACCACCCTAAACCTCATGACGACGGCTGGAGTACATTATATATGGACATGGTTATAAATGCACAGGAAACAGCCAAGTTTATGGTGACAAATTTGTTCTTAAACATTATTTTCAACCTAGAAAGGCTTCCATCAGCATCTCACTCACAGCATCGATCTCGTTGAGAATCTTCCACTGCTCGTACGTGACCCCCAGGGACTCGGCCGTCTGGATCGTCCTCTTCAGCTGGCTGGTCCACACCTTCAGATCAACAATTTCCTGCTCTTCGATGAACTTCTTCAGCGCCTGAGCAAACTGGAAAAAAAAAAGTCAGGGCGGGTGGGGAGGGAGCAGGAGCTGCTGCCACCGTTAAAAGCATCATTTCAAGGGCTGTGGCTGTCGCGGCAGATCCAGCTGCGGGGCTGCCCCTCGCAGGGGGCGGATGCAGAGCCCGGCTCTGGCCCTGGTCACACAACACTTTACAAATACAGCAGCCCGGGCGCTGCCGAACACGTACCTGCTTCCCACGTGGTGACAGACCAGAATCCCCACCAATCTTGCCAACAAGATTATATTCACTCTCACCGTGTCGGCAAAGGTAGATGGTACGCGGCTGGACATGAATGTTCATTAGGTAATAGACGATTTTACTCTGGATGTAATCCTGGACTCTGTTTACTAGGAACCGCTGTCCCACATTGATCACTTTAATGAAGGAAAGATCTCTGGAGTCAACATAAAATAAGAACACCCACACGACTGGTTTTAAAAATGAAGCACGTGCATCTGCGGGTGTAATCTAGCTATTTATCCTCTAGTAAAGGCATCAGCACTACCACTGGGTCGCTCCAGCAGACAGAAGAGACCCTGAACTGCCGTGCTTAAACACGGAGCTGCGTTACGCTGCAGCACACGAGAGAAAAATCCTTTCAAATCACTTGGGACCTGAGGACATCACCTTCACACGAGCAATTGTGCTTTGGGGGAGCAGAGGCTGCAGCAGACGCGTTACAGCATCCTGAGCCAGAGAACAGCAGCGACAAGGCAAAGCAGCTCACGTGTTCAAGGACAAAAGGCAGCCCAGAGCTTTGCTTACTTGTCATAGGCATCGGGATCGAGAGGCTGGTAAGTGACCTTGTAGCACTCTATCCTCTTCAGGAAATCATCCATCACGTTCTCCCTGTTTCTCTCCGGATAGTCGGGGCTGGAAACTTTCACCTCCTGATCAACAGACAGCGACGCTTTGTGAGAGTTAAGCAAACTCGACTCAGAGCAAAAGCAACGCTGAATAACATTATTCTTCCCTTTTGAAACAAATGAGCATTGTTTATCGCTGCCCTGTGGAAAAACCTGCTCCTGGAGAGGAAACAAAGGGCGGCTCTGAAGGCGCTGTAGTGCTTGGCCCTGCGACAGACACAGCTGGCTCGCTGTGAGCTGTCCCTGCGAGCCACCCGCTGCCTGCCTTCCCTTGACAACAGCTCCAAGGTCAAACATTTCCCAGCTTCACTGGATTTCCACGTTCTCACATAACAAACTGCATCTCTTTTATAAACCTGCAAACCTCAGCTGTTAATTTCCAAGGTGAAATGAAAGAGCAAGGCATTAGCAGACACTCCCACAAGCTCCCATAGCTGGTGACCTTGCACCGAGCACCCGAGCTCCCAAGGTAAGTACTGGAAAACATGGTACACACCAGGATATTGGCAGCAATGACTTCTGGATCGTCGCAAACAGACTCCACAAAAAACACCTATGCAGAGGGCAAGGAAGCATATTTTAGAAAGTCAAGGTCTCTGCCCTGAATCAAAACTCAAGAGCTCCTGCTGCAGGCACCAGTTAATATCCCTGAGTGCAGCAACTCCAACCACAAATTAAACACGGGAGCACTACCTTGAAAGCATTTTCTTTAGCAAAATTTAAGATCAGGTCCCGTCTTTCTCGAGTTGTGTTGGTGGCATCAAACACCTACCAGAAAATGAACAAGTAGCAATAAGCGAGTTTATCTAAGGCTTTTAAACCAGCCCTAAATCATTTGGGATCACAGTCAGGTCCCCAAATGCCCTGGGCAGCTTTGAACTACCCAGATGTAAAACCGTGTTTAGTCCAGAAAAGTCTTACAGCTATTTGCCCGCACTCCTCCAAGAGATAAGCCTTCACGTCTTCTAGAGCCACTAAGGCACATCGTCTGCAGGAGAGAAACGGCTACTGTCAGAGATGAGGCTTCTGAACCACTGGGGAGAGATGTAAATACCTTCTCTCTCTGCCCATGGACCACCCACCCCTGCATCTTTCTAAGAGCTCCAGAGGCTCTGCAAAAATCACAAGCATCTGTTATCTATAACCTGCCCCACGGCCG